GATGCTGAGAAGTTATTGTTACCCGTCATATGCTATGCCTGTTTCGGAGCTGCAGCTTGCTGCGAACCCCACTAGAGCTTGATGACTTGACGACCTCGATTTGTCGTCCGGCTGGAGATACCTTTCCCATGCCTCTTCTTTGAGTCACGCGGCTTGCAGAAAAAAAAACACGGAGCGCTTCCAGAAAGCAGCCAGATTCCATAAAGGGACTTCCCTCGTTGTGTCCTTCGCTGGACCAGCTTGGATGAGCCCTGTCATTTTTGGCAGGGCACACGAAAAATAGACTATACAAATCATGTTTGTGCGAAGCAGCAATGTGTGGAAAAAGGCGTCTTCAGCAGCACAGGTATTTGGACGATTCCCTTTCCGGGAATCTCGAATTTTCTCGAATTTTCATGTGGTTTGAGAGCCCAAGAATCTAACGCAGCGAGCCAGGCTTCAGTTTGTCGAGATTCCTGCATGGCCGTGTCTCAGCGCCGCCGCCTGTCCTCGGCCGAGAACGGAGCCCAGGTGGGCAAAACAAATGGCAACAGTCACCGAGCCCCTAATCACTCTTCCGCCGAGGCAAAGCAGAAGAGAGAACTAGACAGGGTAAACATCTCAGAACTAATAGCTCAGCTTGCTGCGTTTGACACAATGCCCCTCGCTGACGCTCCTTTAGGAGTTCTTGATTTCCGTGCTTGAATCGTCGGCTACGAGGCGCGATGCTAAAGCATACCTTCAGACTTTTGGCTCGTCGCTAGCAAAAACATCAACAAAATCACCTTCCAAGCACGATGGGATCCGAGCCGTTACTGAGACGCCTCAATTCGTGCAAGGCCTGGCCAAGGAGCCGGTAGAAGAGGTTGGCGAGGCACCACACATCGCCATTGTCAAACTACGAGAGCCACAGGCCTGGGATGACGCTCTTCTTGACGGTGTTACGAAGACTCTCACCCAGCTACGAGATCTTGGCCTTCTCAGCGTCATCATCCTTGACTGTCCTATGGGTCAAGCGAGCCCCGAGGACTGGAATCAAACAGTCTTTCAGCAAACAGACCGCATTCTCAGTGCCATTGGGCGGCATGGCTCGCCAGGGGCGCAGGTGGTGGATTCGGGGATATGGAAGAACAGCAAAGAGCCGCAGAACCTTTCATCTATCACACCTGCCCCTCTTTTCGTAGGCTTCAAGGAGGCCTTCACGACACCGCTCAAACACGGCCACATCCTCGTCGTTCCGCCCCGCGCTTATTCCCAAAGCGCTCTCAGTTTCAAAGAATCAGACTCAAACGAGACAGTCCTTGCTCTTGCTCGCTTCTTCTCTGGGCTGCAGTTCAACAGCCAGATCCTGGGGGGCGAAACACTGGTGAATGATTCCGTAGGCCGCCCGTTGCGAAGGGCTTTGGTGGATAGAGTTATTGTCATCGATCCTTTAGGTGGCATTCCACTGAGCGAGCAGAGGCACGGAGCACGGGTTTTCATCAACTTGGAAGAGGAATTCGAGCATGTCGAAAGCACCCTTACCGCCGCCGCCGAAAACACGAGTAGCGCCGCTGGCGGCGGCTTCAAGCCAAAGCACTTGGAGAACCTGAGGCTCGTCAAGTCGACTTTGGCTATTCTGCCATCAACAGCCTCCGCAGTGATCACTAGCCCGGCCGAGGCTGCAAATCTCAGAATACAGAGCAATAGCAACGACAGCACGGTTATGGATCGGGTTGCGGGTGAGGTAGGAACGCGTAGATGGCAGAACCCACTCATCCACAACCTCCTCACTGATAGGCCGATCTATTCGGCTTCCCTACCTATTGGGAGGATAAAACCTGCCTATAGCGCCGAGGTTGCGAAGCCCCATATGCCAACCACAACACTAGCGAAGAAGGGGTTGCCAGTCACCATCTTCCCTGATCCTCGAGCAACACCTTGGCTACCACCGAAGCCTGGGGCCCCCCGGCTTCGGTTGACAGACACCTGCGTTGACCTGCCTCGACTGATCCACCTCATCGACGACTCATTTAGCAGAAAGCTCGACGTCAAACATTATCTCGACAGAGTCCAAGACAGTTTGGCGGGCATTATCATAGCTGGGGAATATGAGGGTGGCGCCATCCTTACGTGGGAGAAGCCCTATGGGATGGATGAGGGGGCAGCGTACGACGCCAACCGCTTGGTACCATATCTGGACAAATTTGCGGTGTTGAAGAAGAGCCAAGGGGCGGGAGGTGTGGCGGACATAGTCTTCAATGCTATGGTACGCGACTGTTTCCCTGGGGGGGTGTGCTGGAGGAGCAGGAAGAACAACCCGGTCAACAAGTGGTACTTTGAACGGTCGGCAGGAGTGCGCAAGCTTCCTGAGAGCAACTGGGCTATGTTCTGGACGAACCCTAACATCCCGTTGGACGAGGACTCGATGAAGGCTTACGAGGACGTATGTCGGAGTGTGGTTCCGTCGTGGGCGGATGACAAGCAAGCGGACTGAAAGCTTTTATGCTGTATTTCTTCTTTCTGCTCCCTGCACTGGATTGATATTAAAAGTTTGTTTTTTGATAGCGTGGTGTTTAATGCTTCGCGGCCTCATGATAGAGCTGAATGATTACGTATTCCCGCTGTTGGACGGAGTCAGTCACAAGGTTGTCAATCAGTTGTCAGTGTCAAATGCGGCAGGTCTTGAAGCACATGCCTGAGCGGAAGCGCAATAGGTATAGCCAATCAGACGTAGCGGGTGTGCGTAAGGCAGGCAGCCTTTACAGCTCCAAAACGACAGGGATTAGCGGAGGGAGGGGGGGGGGGTTCAGCAGTAGGTGGACCTGTGTGCTCTGCTGCGTCCCCGTAACAACACCTGCAGCGCTCATCACGTAGCTTCTTCGACCGCTCTAATACATCCTCCATACTAGACCCATCTGCGCGAAGACATCAACATCGCTCCCCAACCAGCGCATACCCCATATCACCCCCACTTCGGCGCACCCTCCGAGAAGCAAAGATGGATATGTTCAAGGGCTTACAGAAGAGCGTGACGTACGAGCCCCTCACAACTTGGCTGCGATCGGCTCCCTGGAGCAGCTGAGCTGCCGCTCGGAAAGCTGACACGAAGACATACACAGCTCGCTGGGTGGCCAGATCACGCCCTTCGCCTCTCGTACTTTGCAGTACACCAAGGAGCAATTGGGTCAGTCTGAGGACAAGGTTCGTTGGCAGCTGCATCCTTGAATGCCCCGTCTTTGATGGATATCCGCGATGACTGACTGTGGCGACGATGACAGACCCAGCTCCCGCCTGACTATATTGATCTCGAGAAGCGCGTCGATGCGTTGAAGGCGGTTCACCAGAAGATGCTTGCCGTCACGTAAGTTTGTGCTCTGGCGACAAATGTCGTCCTGTCGCCGTCGTGATGCTAATATGACAACAGCAACCAGTATTCACACGAGCCCTATGACTACCCCCCCAATATCAAGGAGACATTCCAGGATCTAGGCCGGACAGTCAGCGAGAAAGTTACCCTTCTCTCGTCCGCAACCTCTCCCGCCGAAGCGCAGGCCGCCCTGACGGCGCCGCCTACCGCCAAGCCGCAGCCTAAGACCTTCTCCCACGCCATAGCCCGTGCCAGTATATCTGCCAGTCAGACCCTGCACCAGCAGCACACCGGTGCCGGCGAGGATCCTCTGGCCACGGCCCTTGAGAAGTACGCCCTCGCCCAGGAGCGCGTTGGTGAGGCCCGTCTCGCCCAAGACGCCCAGATCCAGAGCCGCTTCCTGGCCGGATGGAATACTACGCTCAATACCAATATTCTTTTCGCCACACGCGCCCGTAAGAGTGTCGAGAAGGCCCGCCTGACGCTTGATGCCGTCAAGGCACGCGTCAAGGGTACTACCTGGAAGCTCGGCGCGACTTCTCCTCGCACCGAGATCCACGATGACCACGAGCTCAGCAACGACGCTCAGGAGGAGATTGAGAAGGCCGAGGATGAGTTTGTCACGCAGACCGAGGAGGCTGTTGGTGTCATGAAGAATGTGAGCTACCCATTTTGCGACCCCTCTAAAGCTTGGCGAGCTAGGCATGTTGCTAACTCTGTTCATTAGGTTTTGGATACCCCCGAACCCCTCCGCAACCTGGCCGAGCTGATCGCCGCCCAAATGGAATATCACAAGAAGGCCCACGAGATTCTGAGCGAGCTGGCACCTATCATTGATGGGCTGCAGGTCGAACAGGAGGCAAGTCGTGCTTCGGGTTTCTCTTTTCAGTGAACTCCTTTTGCGTTGACCGAAAAAGAGCGGCTTCCCCTTTCCCCCATTTCATATTGCTGACTCAAGCCTTTTCTTGTCCTGTCACAGGCGAGCTACCGTAAGAGCCGCGAGAGCGCCTCGTAAGATGCGGGGTATCAATGTCTGGGAAAATTAAAATGGGGGGTGGGAGACGGTTGGGTATGACGTGTGGCGAGGGTGCGCTCATATGGCTGGTGACCGCGCTTGCTGTTGCTTGACCAGGTGGGATGGGAGCTTGGTGGGATAGGGGTGGCGGTGTATTGATCGGTGGCTAAGTTGAGGGATCAGATCCCTCATATCTAGGTAGGCAGGGGGGTACCGGATATTTTCTGGCTGGTCCTCCACTTTTCTCTATTCCTTTGATATGTGCTGGGCTCGCTCTGTTTGTTTCTATGGCTGTGTTTGTGTTTTGCCTTGGCTGGGTTTTTTCTTCGGTCTATAGAACCAACTCATATGTCTCTGATTCTGTTCCGATATGTGTGCCTAGAACTCCTTGAGGCTCAAGACATAGGCTTGGTCTCGCGTGTGTGATGTTTTGAGTGTCTATTCCATCCGGACTGCCCGAGAAATTCCCTTTAACAAGTATCACAAAACTCACAGTTTTCAAGATATTTCTTTGCTGTGTCTTTGGGCATTTATGGCAGCGAATTTTTTTTGGGTTTGTAAGTGGGACGTGGGTGTGATGTAATATGGCTCCACCCGTCGGACATGAGCTCCACAACTCGACGGACCTCCCATCCAATCAAGCAATTTGCTTGTTCAGGGCGTGTGGCTCAGTTGGTAGAGCGTTCGCTTAGCATACTCCATTGTATGCGAAAGGTCCTGGGTTCGATTCCCAGCTCGTCCACTTCCTTTTTGCTCACTTTGTTAAATCTTGATGCATTTGGCCATTCAAGGGGTGCTTTCTTCTCACTTTTTTTCTCTCTCTCTCGGGTAGTAAAGCTTAGCCTTCTCGGCTTTTCTGCCGTTTGCCAGCTATAATTACGCACTTTCGTACTTGCTCAGGCGAGATCCCCCTGTCGTGCCTGGATATTCTTTGCCCCACCACCAACAGCTTCCTATCGGCTAATCCTCGGAGCTAGCCCCTGACAGGACGCACTTGCCGCGGGACAATCGTAGCAGTGGGGAGCTTTCGCGCAGTTGCCAGCAGCCAGCAGCCAGCCGCTTCCCACCTTCCTAACCACTCCGCGAAACCAAAGTCGACTGATCGCAACACGCACGCGTATTGTCCACAACACAGAACAGTAGACCAGAGAATCTCCGCAATGGTATGTCATCGCTCGATTTCGCTTTTGAACGCATTCGACGTGTACTGGGGAACTGACAACGGTCCACAGCTGCCCCTCGGTCTCTTGAACGCGGCGCAAGGCCACCCCATGCTGGTGGAGCTCAAGAATGGCGAGACACTCAACGGGCACTTGGTGCTGTGCGATACATGGATGAACTTGACCCTGAGGGAGGTCGTGCAGACGAGTCCGGTGAGCAGCACCCGCCCGCCCCTGGGCTCTCCTGAAATCGGGAGGGGAGTGGCTGACAGAGAGTTGCTCAATAGGAGGGCGACAAGTTTGTGAGGTTACCAGAAGTCTACGTCAAGGGAAATAATGTATTTTGCTCGAATGTGGCTGCGGATGAGTGATGCGTGCTGACGGCGGGCGTGGTAGATCAAGTACCTTCGGGTCCCCGACGAGATCATCGACATCGCCAAGGACCAGCAGCAGAACCAGCAGGGCGGATACCGGGGCGGACGTGGAGGTTCAGGAAGGGGAGACCATGGCAGCCGTGGCGGTGACAGAGGCCGTGGGGGGCGCGGCCAAGGAAGGGGGAGAGGTCGCGGCCGGGGCGCATGAGAGAGGGAGGTTCGTTGTGGTCAGTTGGATCGAGTATTTACTACCGATGACACGACCTGGGCATACTGGATCAGACCTCTGTCGAAACAGAAGCGTCTTGGTGAGCCTAGGAGGATCCGATCTCGGCAAAAGGAAGAGAGCGTCCTCGTGTTGGAGTGTTAGGATATCAGGTGGGCAGTGGTTCGGCGACCCCAAAATGGCTAGCGACGGGTTGACACTCTAGCATGTGTCACCTCTGGCCTCTCCGGACTACTAGAGGTCTCTGAGCCGGAATGAGACTAAACATGGTCTCGAAGCATTCAACAGGATACCCAAAAGGACACCCATGGTCCCAGAGCAATTCCCTGCACGTGACCCCGCGCGTGACGTATGTCCCAAGTTGCCGGCGGCAGACCGTTGCTAAGAGATTTGCACCGCGCCACAGCTGGCAGGCTTGAAGTTGTCTCCGAAGCCCGACTAGCCCTCGTCCATGCCTTCTTCCTCTTGAAGCCAACCTCTCTGGGTTGCCCAGAGTCTCCCATGCCGACGCCACCTCGCATCGTAATTGACGGGTTTTGGCGCTGTCTTTGCCCCTCAATTGATGTCGCTGTTTCTGCAAAACCCGTCAGCAATCCCTTTCGCCTGACACGACAGGCCACCAGTCGCAAAGATGCCCTCCACGTGAATCGGCCCTCCCACCAGGGCCATCAGATCCGCGCAGCTCACACCGAGAGCCGGCCCCAGCCCGAGAATGCGCCCCAAAGGACGCCAGCTCCCTCCGCCTCCGAATGCCCTACGCCCCCGCTAGTGACCGAGGAGTCCATGCGCCAATCGGTAACGTCGGCCATCTACGAGACGCTGAAGTCGCAGCGCCTCTACGATGACGGGCGGGGCGCAGCGGTGCGCGAGCTGGTGTGCCACCTGGTCCACGACCGCGGCGAGCGGCCCAACATCTTCCACGCCGACGCGCTTGCCGCGGCGAACTGGGCCGTGGACGGCTCGGCAGTCGAGCTGAGTGTCATCATTGACGAGATGCTGCGGCTGGGCATCGAGCCGACGGGTCAGTTCTGCCACACTGCGCTGCGGGCGCTTGCTATCCATCCAAACTACATAATGAGGAACGAGATATTGGGGTATATGAAGCAGGAGCAGATTGAACTCTCGGAATCGGGGAGGTGTAGCGTCGCCCTGGGTCTGCTGCGCGACAGGCAGTTCGAAATGGCCATGGACTATATCGATCAGATGATCCGCGACAAGCTGGGCATTCCGGCCTGGGTCTTTGATATCTTTATATACCAACTGGGGGAAATGAACTTGATTGATGAGGCGTTTCACCTTGCGTGGCATCGGGTTCAAGCCACCGGGCATGATGACACCCCCAAGTCCCTGAGCATGTGGACCTTCCTTCTTGAGGAGTGCGGCAAGGCATTGCACTATGAAGGGACCAAGTTCGTGTGGAACTACATGGTCGAGTCCGGGAATCTGAACCCATGCGATGGGACGACGACAAACGTCCTCTACACCGCGGCGCGCAAAGGGGATCCAGACCTGGCCAACCAAGCCATCCAAGTCCTCTCGGCGAGAGGGTTGAAGCTGGGCATCCACCATTACGAAGCCCTGGTCGAGACGTACACGCGGTGTGAAGACTTGCAGAACGCCTTCCAGGTTCTCTGCATCATGGCGAGCACAGGCATCCAGCCCGAGGCAGCCAGCACCCGGCCCCTCTTTGCGCTGCTGAAGCGGTCCCAGCAGCTCATAGACAGCTCCCTTGATCTCCTGGCCAACCTGGCAAGGACCGAAGTCGTGCCCACAGCCGGCGCAAACGTCGTGATCGAGGCGCTCTGTGCCCACGACAACCTCCCGAAAGCCCTGAGCGTCTACTACGGCATCGACGCGGTGTGCATCGCCGGCCCGAACACCCACACCTTCGAAGTCCTCCTCGCCGCGGCGACGACCCACGATGACGCCGCCATGATCTTTTCCGAGGCCGAGCTGCTCTCCATCAAGCCCTCCGAGGCCATGCATGAATCCATGGTCCGCTGCTGCGCCCGCGACGGCAGCCTGAAGGAGGCCCTCGCCCACATTGCCAAGATCGACCAGTCCGCCACCTCGCCATGGCTGAGCAAGCGGACGCTGACCGTGCTCATCGAGCGCACTTTCCGGGAGCAGGACCCGAAGGCGTGGGATCTCCTCGACGAGGCCAAGAGGAGATATGCCGATGTCAAGTGGGAGTTTGAGGCTATGCTCCTGGAGATGATCAAGGCCGATGCGTCCAAGATGAGACCGCCTCCGGCATCTGAGCCAGAGGCAGATGAGCCAGAGGCAGATGAGCCAGATGAGCATCTTTGGGGAGAGGTCGAAGAGGCGCTCCTCAAAAAAAGGGTTCATCGGAGCTAGAATACATGAAATAATAATTACCAAATGAACTTGTAATTATACATGTTAATCCTCCGCAATAATGGTCGTGCCACTCTTATCAGCTTCTCACTCAGGTCAGAAATTTTGTCCACCCCACGTTTGTCAAAACGTGTTAAGTCAATTTACCATTTCTTCATTCATCCGCCACGATTACAGCGAGATGTAATCCGACATCAAAAGTTGTTAAATTCACCGCGTTGTTCAGCTGCTAAGTCGCCAAAAGCTAACCCTTTTTCCATGATGCTCCAATCTCTCCCGGTGAGCTGATGCCATATAAATACCCTATTTCTCACGCCCTAGCCTCAAACGCAAAAGCGAATAACATCATATGCGATACAAGGTTGGTTTACAGCCCAGACCGATAGTTCCACGAGCCTGACTTCCCCTTCCTACCCTCCCAAAACGCCTGGCCGGCTTTCGTAAATAATGCAAGCCTAACCGCCCATATTCGAGATAGCCCTAATAAATAAACACCGCAAGCCATGCCTTCCCATCCCAGGTAAGAGACCGCAATGGCCAGAGAGCTCCCGATATCAGATTCATGATATGACCCCCTGACGGAAAGCCCTCTTGAATATGCAACCATTTGAAAAATAAAAACGCCGTGAAGGCGAGCTGGAATTTTTGACAGGGAAGCATACAAGCTCAAACCCGTACGTGAAAGCCGTAGTCAGCCGCCAACTCGCGGAGCTTCTGCTCACCCGGGCAGTGCTTGATAAACAGCGGAAGTTTTCTCCCAAACCCGCGATGGCCAACATGCACTCCTCTCCCCGCGTTCTAGCCACCTCTTCAGCCACCAACATCGCTTGCCCCTCCTCCCCCCCCCTCCCCCCCGGTCGATACTGCTGCTGTACGTATGACTCGACAAGTTCATGTTATATGACGTGCCAGCAGCTGCCGCGTGATTCGCGTTGTAGGAGGCCGCGTTGCCTGGCTAAGAAGTAGAGGTAGTTGTCCTCCGTTGCGCCGTACTGGGGGCAGTTGCAGTAGTTGCAGCACAGGAAGAAGCCACAGTCTGAGAAACTGGGCGAGCAAGCCCCCCGGACGAACTGCCATTTGCCGACTGCGAACTGTAGTTATCATAAGATGAATACGAGTTCGAAGCGGTGGCTGAGGATGGTTGATTAGCGTATGGCTCATACGCCACACGGCTGCTCGCTGGCTCTGCCCGAGTGGTTGAGTAATGATTGTAGTCATAACTCGGGGTGGTTGAAACCGCTGTGGTGGCGGAAAACGCTGCACTCCCTGTACCGGAGGGGGCTACCTGAGCCTGAGTCGAGTTTTGGACAGGCGTGCGACTTTGTGCCCGGTTAGCCTGCCGGGATTTAGCACGAGTCATCGGGGCAGCGGCCTGAAACGGCGGCGTATTCAAAGGCCGAGCCGCAGGCTGAGCCGCGGTTTCCCAGCTTGATGACTGCTGGTGCCGGAGATCGTCATATGCCAAAGGAGCAGTATTCTGCACAGCCTGCCGGCCCTATGCCTGTCTCGGCGGCGGTTTACTAGTCACTAGCAGAGCAGGTGAATGCGACATAGTTTGCCAGGTACTATTCACCTGCGCCGTTGACACATTGCTATTCGTAGTGTCCGGCTGGGCCGGCTGAGC